AGATCTCGCATCCTCAACTAGCTCACTAGAGAGGCTCAACAACAGCAATTATGACACGTGGAGCGTTCGGATGAAATATTATTTGCTCGGGCAAGATCTCTGGAGCATTTTTCATGGTGCAGAGACGACCCCACCAACTGATGAAGAAAATCTAAAGAAATGGAAGGTTCGATGTGGAAAAGCTTTGTACGTGTTGTCGATCTCCGTGGAGGATGAGTTCTTGCAGCGGATCAAGGACCTAACGACACCGAAGGAGGCATGGGATACCTAGGCAGAAACCCTAGTCCATCCCTTGGCCGGAACAATATATATATATATTTGTTTAAACTTTTAAAAAATATTTATAAACAAGTGTTTTTAAAAAATATTTAAAAAGTAAATAGGAGTTATTTAAAAAAATGCTTATTTTAAAAATAAAAAGAATTTAAGCAAATATATCAAAAAGTAAAAAAAAAAGTAATTATTTTATTTAAAAAAATATTCAATATTTTTTAAAACAAACAGACCTTTATAAACATTAAAAGTTATTTTTTTTTATCTTTCTCTAATTATCTCAAACATTTAATGAAAATACTGAAAAAGGATAAATGTATTTTATAAGGTTTAATTATAATTTTGGTTTCCATACTTTATTTCATGTATAGTTTTGATCTCTTTAATTTTAATTACTCAAAATTTAGTCTTCATAATTTTTTAATTATTTTAAATTAATTTTCTCTATTCAAAATTTTATCCAATAATTCATTTATAAAAAAAATTCAATAGAAAATAAAATTATTGAATAAATTTTTAAAAATGATTTTCTTTTACATTTTCTACAGTTCATCTTTTTTTATTGTTACTAAAATATTTGGTACTTAATTGTTTGAGCATGTTTGGCAAAGATTAAATTTCTCACTCTTAGTTATCTTTTCAAGAAAAGATAAATTGTTTGTAAAATAAATCATATGTTTGGAACAATTTAAATATGTATACAAATTATTTTGTTTTTGAAAAACAAGTTATTTTTAAGAAGTTGAAAATTTGAAACTTATGATTATTTCTTTGACAAATTTTTTTAAAACTGATTCACTATATAAAAATTGAATTTTCTATTTATCTAAATAAAATTAAACATCTTTTTTTTTAACAAATTTACTCAAATAAAATTTCATTTTTAATTATAATCAATTATAATAATTATCAATTATTTATATAATTAATTATTAAAATAATTTAATTTCCACAATCTTTTCAAACACAATGTTTGAATATTTTTTCTTAAAATTGTTGCATTGTATAAGTCATTTTGTTTATTTATTTTTTTCGCTTCCGACCATGATTGTTTGGTTATTAGTAATTAGTGATAGTTTTCGTTTTAAATATTTTATACGGAGTGTTTAATATATTGTAATTAAAAAAAAAA